GATTTTCATTTTTTGGGTCAATTAATGTGGAATAGTACCGAAACTTGTTTTGTAGAACTCGTTTCGAGCAAGAGGAGCACATCTACCTGTATGATGATGATTCGGCGTCGTACTGTAACATCGAGCATGTACTTTCATATAGAACTGAGCTGGTAGGTTTGCTCAATCCTAACTTTCATTTTTTATCTTATTATATCTAGTGCCTTTTATATTCATCAAGAGATGGGAAAGGAAAGGCGACAAAAGTTAATGCTGTTTTTCTACGAGCTACTCAAAAAAGTAGAATGCTAAATGACCGCTATTAAACGTTTTCTATCTGTCAAAATTTTCCATGTGACTGCTTTTAAACCTGTACAGAAGTTACCCTACTGGAAGGGCATATTCAGGGTGACAACGAGTTACAAAAAGAGTATATGAAAAAGAAGACTAAACCGTTATTAAACTTCTGTGGAGCCAAAAAACGTAAGGTTTCAGTGCTAATTCTGAGCATGACTGGGAATTTCTGCGGATGATCTTATTATCGAATAGTTGAAATACATATCTGTAAAGAGTTATATTCAGGCACCAGAAACTCCTCCTCTTCCGATTGTGAAGAAACAGATCTTCGTTTTGAAAGTGACAGGCGTCTTTGCCGAGGAGACACCAATAACAGTACAGTGTGAAAGTGACAGCACCGCCAAGACAATCATCCAGCAGGTGATTATTTTTGAAGCGGCACTTTGGATTTTTTGTGCGAAGATTGGTTCTTTAATCGTAAAAGTTTCTTTATTCCTCATATAAAGACAATGACTCAGGAACGAATACGAGTTTTCCCATTCTCTTGGCCTTCTGGATGTGTCCAACACTTTGCTTGAAATCTCTCGAAGTTGTCAAAGAAGGGCTTTCATGGCTTTTCCGACCCTGAAGATTGGTGAAGGGGCTGGACGAGCCATTCCCGCCAGCTGGGCGCGATTGGTTGCCTGAGCCAACCAGCCAGTTACCGCCGATATGGGTGGGCGACTCCTCCCATACACTCACTTTTGATTCCTCTCATACACTCACTTTTTTGACAACTTCGGAGATTTCAAGCACAACACAAGACAAGGAGACATGGGAAACCCCAAGTCGCAATTTTCCAAACCATAGTCTTCAACGGCTTCCTACTCAATAGCATCCCTTGTCCGATGGTGCTAAACATCATTTAAGGTGCTACTGAACGCTGGAAAGAACGTTGATCAAGTAGATGAGTATGCTCTGATTGAAGAATCTTCACAGTCCACATCTGGAGAGGAGCCCGTGGAACAAAGGGTAAGCCATTCACAGAATCTATCTCAAAAAAA